TTTTTTCTTTTTGCTTATGTGGTGCTGAGGAATCAAACCCAGGGCCTCATGCATGCAAGGCAAGCACTTTACCACTGAGCCACCTTCCCAGCCCCTGAATTGGCTATCTTATGGGTGGGGACGGGAGGGAAAAATTGGGAGAGACTGATAGAAGGGGAGACATGGTTCAAAAAGAATCATACTCATTACTCATTACCTCATTCATGTAACTGTAACTCCTTTGTATATCAACTCTACAATAATACATAATCTGCTAAATAAAAACAGATGTGTCTATAGGTGATATGACAGCAAAGGAAAGGCACCATGTAATTTTGCTCTAAAAACTCAAATGTCTTGATTACCATTCTTTTCAAAAGCACTGCATAAATATTCAATATCCTTTCTCTTTTGGCCTTTGTGAATTCTAAAGTTTAGGTTGTGTTTTGACAGCTGTGTAGCTGCATGAATTTGTTCTTAGGATGCAAGTATCTACACATTTAAAATGACAGTTTTTAAAGTTTCTTCCTTCTGAGGCGGCTTAAGGATAATTGTGTAGATTGTATGTATGTGCAGGGAGGGGTTTGCTTCATCAGCTTGCACTCATGTGACCTTCTCTACCCCAGCAAGCAACCCCAGCTGTGGGCAGCCCTGAAAGGAATGGTACAAATCCAGAGGTGGTCCGACAGCCACACCTCCTCTCTGGGCATTTGTCTTGAAGCATACAGGTATAAACTATTTATTTCTTCATAGCACGCACATTGGAAATATAATTGGCTTTCTTTTCATTTTTGCTGGCTTTTGATGCCCCAGTGGGGACTTGACCTTAGCTTCGAAAACCTATTGTTCCTTGACCAGTTAGCTGTTTTTCTATTTGAGGCCATATTTTTGAGTCTAGGTAAAAGTGCCCTTTCAAATCTTTCCAGTCACAGTAGGCATTAATTATGGATGGCCGTGACAGAGTCCACAAATAATTCGAAAGCACTTAATGTCAACAGTAAAGGACAAATTAGAAAGAGAAACTTTTTACTTCTGACAATAATAAGTTGGTTCTCCTATTCCAGACTCATTAAAAATGCATAGGCTTTTTCAAGTGAACATGAGGTAATCAACTTAGGGGTAAATGTGTGCTTATCTATCTATTATCCCATAAAGTTTTTTTTAAATATGCAGATGACATTTAGGCTAGAAAGTATCCATGTGGCTGAACATTTCTGTCCAGGATAGTTTTCTTTTCCTGTAGAAACACTTTCACCACCACAGGGCAAAAACAAAGATGGCCCTTTCTCTAGAAGTGACCAGGAATCTAAACGATAAAAGAGCTGCTCAGTTTGGTGGAGTAATAAAATCTACTCCTTGTCTGCATCATCTGGAATTATGGATCATATTGTAAGAAAATTTTTTGATTAATAATATCTTTGTTCATTTGTTTTAGCAAGCGAGTATAACAGATTTTTCTAAAGCCCTTTGTATAATCAACTCTATAGAAGAATGAATCTAATAATTACGAAATCCTATTTATATTTCTCTAAATTCCCTGCCACATAAAATTCCTTTGTTTATGTTAACATACACATACATTTTCACATGGAATCAATGAGATGCCATTTTGAATTCTATTTTTTCCTTTACTTATATGTAGAAATGTTCATGGAATATACATAGTGAACAAACTTGACACTTTAAATTATAGCTTTTATGAAACCCTGCCAAATTGTTTTCTAGCATTATTGAATCAATTTTCCATGTGACCAAAACCCTGGGTATATTGAATTCCCATAATCCTATAAACATTCAGGCTTTATTGTCTTTCGCTGCTTGAGTGTCTTGTATTTATGTAATTAAATGAATGTTTATTTTTCATTAGGCATACACATATGTATGTATCAGCACAATACATTTTAGGAAAAATGTAACTGAATTCATGCTGAGAAGCAGAACAATTGTGGAGAAAAAGCAGAAGAAATTCATTCAAGTCTTTGGGATGGAGCCATATATAAACTAAAATTATGGTTTCCACTTAGATTTTACTGCTTTACCAAGGACACATAGATCAAGTATTTTAACATTGCTTGCCCAAGCTTTTGGAAACCTTTGACTTGCTTATCAAGTGTGTATCTGAACGTTTAACTTGCAGACAGTGTGTTGAACAGTCTTCTCTCCCCATGACACACAGGGACCCTGATAAGTACCAGGACTGTCCCAGCGAGTACCAGTAAGGAAGGACTGTCTAGCCTTGATTTTACCAGTTCACAACCACCAGAGGTAGGGAGTCATTTCTGATAATAATTTAGCAATTCCAATTTGTATAGTGGATCATAGCATGTGAAATGTGCATGTTGTAAAAAAAAAATAAAATACTGTGCTTTGCACTGGCAAGGGATAAAGACAGTGTCCACCCACACATGGTTTGTAATGTGCATTCTACTAATAGTTAAAGGCAAGTCACAGCTCACAAACACAAGTCACAGCAAACCTTCATGTGTTTGTTTACTCATCGCCAACACTTAAAAGCATGTTCTGTGCCTGCCCTGACGCCATGTGTGGTGGGAACAGAGATGGGCTTTCCTGCCTGTGTTAGTGTACGCCAAACACAGGGCACAGGAGATGCGCCACAAAGTAATACAGCGAAACACGGCCGCTGACAGGTGCCACAAAAACCAGGACAACAAACTAAAGAATGCAGAAGAGAGATGGATGGTTTCCACCAGAAAGGATGGAGGAGAAAATGTTCAGCTTGGTCTTAAAGGATGGTAGGACTTGCACCAATACATGCAAACAGCCTGAGTAACCATCGGAGGCTGAGGAGAATGGAAGCGCACGGAGGTTTTACTGGTAGGAAGATGCGAGGCACGTGAACGGGTTGGTGCAAGAAAAATGCTAGAAAAGAAGGCCAAGGCCAGGTCAGGAAAGGCTTTGACCAAGGGTAGGACGCGGTAGCAATGACCACCATGCTTTCAGAAGGCTTTAGAATAGGTAGGAAGGACTAGAGGAGCAGGGACGGAATCAGAGACTACAATCACATGGATGAGAGGACGTGAGGGCTTGAACTGTCAGAGCAGAGCGGATAGAATGTAAAAGGATGATTGGAGTGTGGATTCATAGGCCTTAGTGACTAACATGACACACATTCAACACTTAAATGGCATTCAGACAAAGGACATTAGAGTTTGTTTTATATAGCACATTTAGGAGGGGTTGCTTTTTTACACCTGACCTAATTTCTACTACTGAGATCATTGAAAATTTCTAGGTAATAACATCTTTTGTTATTTTTTGGACCCTCATCCTCAAATTCTAACTTAAAAGAGACTTTCTCTAAAGAAAATGGCACTCATCAGCTAGTATTTGTGTAGCAGTATGTAAATGGAGGAGAGGAAAGCTCCTGTTTTATTTTTGTCTACTATGGAATTTATTTCCAAAATACCAATGTTGTAAAGTGGCCCATTTCAGAGGAGCTGCGGCCCTCCCCTAGCGCCTTTATATTTTCAGTCAGAAGCTTCTCTACTCATTTGGAGGTGGAATGGATGTCCCGAGCGGCTGCCAGATATTTGTAGCTAAGCCTTGGCAGTAGCAGCAGCAGCTGCTCTGGATTTCAGATCGCTCAAGCAAATCCGGACCCAGTGTGCGCTCTGGCCTGACCTGGGAGAGGGAGCCGGGAAGACTAGCAAAGGGTGTGTCATCTGAAGACCACATTTTTCCAATCTGGTAAACTGGTCATATCGGACTCCCAGTATCAGGCTGGGCTGACCTCATCACAAACAGAACCAAATGGGGACAGAAAATGATCTGGAAAAAAAAAATGAACCATCGAGCCATCTGCAGTGACTCTGGTGGAAGTCACTGAGGTTGCTTACCTGAAAACTCGAGGGCGCACACCCCTCTCTGATGCTGTCCTTTCAGCAAGGACAAGCATTTTAGCGTTTGTGTGTCCCACACGTGGATAGCCGCATCTCTTCCCACCTGGAATAACAAGACGAGTGTATTGTGAATTATTTATAGACTATAAAGAAAAGAATTTGGTGCCTTAGAATCAAGCACTACTCCCAAATCAAGAAGTGCACATTATCTGGAAAGTGGAAAGAACACTGGAAATAACCTGGTCCCTCAATTTTCCAGATGAAAACAATTAGCTCATGGCTCCCAGTTAAAAGCCTTTTTCTCCTACCCTCCCCACCCCCCAGTACCGGAGTTTGAACTTGGTTTTAATGCTTGTTAACCACTTGAGCTCTATTCCCAGCAATTTTTTTTTTACTTTATTTTTCAGATAGGGCCTCATGTTTTAGCCCTGAGTGGCTGCAAACTCATTATTGAGATGAGTCTCAGTAGTTTTTTGTCCAGGCTGTCCTTGAACCACAATCCTCCCAAACTCAGCCTCCTGTATAGCTAGGATTACAGGTGTGAGTTACCACACCCTACCCTCAGTTAAGAGACCTTTAAGACCCACTTCAAATGTCCACTGTGCTTTCTTTTTTTATCTTTCCCTATGCTGCTTTGTCATATTTCATAAGACTCTACTTTGTGTTCAAAGAAGTCCTGTGTGTGTTATGACATTATCCACAAAGTTCTTCCCACTCTATCTCTCTCTCTCTCCCTCCCCCCCTCTGTCTTTCTCTCTCCGTTTTAATTGGTTGTGGGGCTTGAACTCTGGGCTTGGGCATTATCCCTCAGCTCTTCAGATCAAGGCTAGTGCTCTACCACTTGAGCCACAGTGCCACTTCTGGTTTTCTGGTGGTTTATTGGAGATAAGAATCTCACAGACTTTCCTGCCCAGGCTGGCTTTGAACCATGATCCTCAGATCTCAGCCTCCTGAGTAGCTAGGATTATAGGTATGAGCCACCGGTACCTGGCCTCTTAATGATTTTCTACCACTGGAAGGCCCAACTCTGCTTCTATCCCTGAGAAATAAGTTTCATAGCTTACTATCTGTCACTAAGGCAAATTGTCTTTGTGGGGATATGAGCTTCTACTGTACTAATTTCAACAACAGAAAGAAGTTAAAATAGCAAAATAATATTCCTTACAATACAAAGGGGGAAAAAGACCCTACTGAGTATGATAACTCCAAAACAGAAAACTAGCAGCCATAGGGACCCGGGGAGACCCTACCTGGTTTGTGGAGGTCTAGACTGTACTCGCACCTTCCCCCAGTTCATTTCCCATCCCCTACCAATGACTGCTGGCATCGTATCTGCCAGTTACAGTACTGGTATATGCAAAGAACCAATCTCTGGCCTTCACTTCCAAAAGAAAGGTAATAAATCTCATGAACTGGGAATAACTTCTCTATAAGACAGATAAAAAAGTAAGTGCAAGTAGTAAGGCAAAGCAATGATGACTTTCTGTGAAGCTCACTGATGTCAGCTAACTCAGAATTGATGGTCAACCCTGCAGTTGGACAGGAGCAAACCAGTTTATAAAGTGGTATGTTTTAGGGTATTTTTATAAGCACTATAAAGATTATTGCTCATTTTTCTCCCCAGATGCACGTTTTCTATGGGTTGATGCCTTTGACTCTCTCAATTTCAACCATGAATCTCATCAAGCTTAAGTTAAGAAATCCACTCAGAAGCCTCTACCACCTGGATGTTAAGTCTCAGAGACAGAATTTAATGGTCTCGTGCTAACCTTTGACAAAACATCAAGAGATTGTTCTTGGAATTTGTAGCTTAGTGGACATTAAAGTATTACCATCAATGAAAAGTTTGTGATCAAACTAAACAAAAGCAAAATATACATGCCTGAGAAAAAGAATACACTGAGAATACTTTGGATACTTTCACCATTTTCCTAGCAAGATCATCCTTAGTTTAACAGATACTTTGTTTACTCAATTTTTATTGCTCTCCCTTCTCTGCTAAATGTCAGAACAGACAGAAGGCCTTGGTTTTGAGCAACTTTTTAGTTACAGACTCAATTCAAGGTTTAGGCATTCTAGAAAATAGTTTATATAAAGTGTAAGGTTTTGTTTTTCAAGGCTAGAGCATAAAGTGATGTTAGCTACAGTCTTATGCTTTTCTTACAGTTTTGTAAAAATTACTACAACCTAGCTGTTACAATAGTTAAATATTTTTGGTACAACCAATATTGACCATGTAAGATACGTTAAATGCTGCTTATATAGTGATAAGGAAATACAAAAGTTGTTCCTTCATAAACTGTTCACTACCAGCTGTTCTCATTCAGATTTCATCCCTTCAAAAAGACAGTTCCTAAGAGGCTTCCTATGATTTTAGAACATGTTGATTGGTTCATTCTCCCATCATTACAGAATGATTCAATGTTCTCTGAATCTTCAGCCTCCTGCCTCATATTTACTTCTATTCAGTACTTCTTGAATTTGTCCTCTCTCTTTGGCTAGGCCCCCAGTCTTAGAGGAGAGATACACACCTGTCCTGTGGCCACATAATCCTTCACGGGGTGGATGGTCAGGCTGAGAATGTCATCGTCATGTCCCAGGTAGAGTCTCTGGGTGTGTTGTTGCCTGTTGTACACAACAGCAACTGCGGCAATATGGTAGACCACTTCTCCAGCTTGGGTGTAGAACAGGTTGTTTCTACAGTCATAGCCTCTGTAACTGAAGGACAAGGCAGAGAAATGCATGCTGGTTGAATGAACAGGAAATGTGAGATGCAGGTGTTCTCAGAAACAAAGCAAACATGTTGATGAAAATATGTGCAAGTGGAGCCCAAAACACAACTGTTTTGTGTTAGCTAGAAGAGGACCTCTGAGCACTGGATGACTTTCTAAGAGGCACCTGGGCACTGATCTGATCCAAGATCCTCAGCTACTAAATATGTTCTTTCCTAACATCCATCCTTCTGTGAACTCGCCCCGATCAGGCCTTTCTTACTTCATCTCTCCTTTCACAATACTCCTCTTCTCCCTCTTTTGAGGTCACTGTCCTCCATCAGGAATCTTAGCATGGGTGTTATGCTGGGGCATGGAACCTTCCAGGGGCACCAAAACAAAGAGGCAATTCATAGTACAAGGGAACAACTCTTCATGACTGGAGGAGGGATCCTTTGAAAATCAAGTGATCTCTAGTTCTTTACTTTTTAACAAAATTGAACAGAGGCATAAATGAATAGATTGATTACTACTTTTGTGATATATCAAAATCAAAATATTATTTGTCCTATAATACAGAAGGAGCTTAAAGAACAGAAAAACACTGCTATGACAAAATCATTTCTATCTTGACTACTTTTAATGAGAATAAACTCTCAGTGCTTAATTTGTAAAAAATTGAAAAGTGGAATAGACTCAATGCTAAATTCTACCACATTCTACCAAGAAATGATATATATGCACAGATAGCTGAACTAAAAAATACTTGATTAAAATAATTTCCAATATTGAATAACATAACTTGTAATATTTATATTGATGTGGTCAATTTTTCCCTACAAATAATTATAACAACTCAGTTTAAAGATTAAGAGCAGCACTGGATAACAGAAATATGGTATGTGCCACATAGGAGATAAAAATCTTCTTAGTTGCCACACTAAAAAAATAGATGAACTCTTGAGGACAATCTTAAACACATTTAAATCATGTCAACATATAATCAATATAAAGATATTTAATGAGATACTCCACATTTTCGGTGCTACTCAGATTTGAATTCAGGGCTTTTCACTTGCAGACTGTGCTCCCTTGCTGAGCCACACAAGACTTTTTTTTCTTCTGGTTGTTTTAAATACATTCTTACTTTCTACTAAGCATATACAATCTATTTCAGGCTTCCTAAAATAGGCCAACATGGATGTGCCACCACACCCAAATCTCTGTTGAGACAGGGTCTTGCAAACTTCTGCCTGGGCTGGCCTCTAAATTATGATTCTCCTAATTGCAGCTTCCCAAGTGGCTAAAATAACAGGCAGTGAGATACAGAGGCTCAGCCTCCATTTTTTAATGTCAAATATTTAAAATTGATGTGCATTTTACATATACAGCACGTCCCACTTTAGTCATGTTGTAAGTGCCTTAAAGCCATGTGTAGCCAGTGAGTACTCCATTGCATAGAGTTAACATGCAGTGCCAGAGGAAATGATACTGAAATTGAGAATTTTTTTCTTGCAGAAGGTATGATATGCAGTGACTAAAGACTCAGGCATAAAAACATGTGAGGGTAAGATCTGAAGGGAGACTTAGGATAGGTAGAGTATGATGGACAAAAGGATGTGACAAAAAAAATAAACTTTTGGGGCTGGGAAGGTGGCTCAGTGGTAGAGCGCTTGCCTTGCATGCATGAGGCCCTGGGTTCGATTCCTCAGCACCACATAAGCAAAAAGAAAAAAAAAGAAAAGAAAAAAAATAAACTTTTTCATGTTGTAATAGTGCCAGAAAATAATGTATGGCATTTGGATTCTATTGGGCCCATTGAAATGACAGATGTGAATACATATAATGCACCAGAAATTTATTTAGATTCTTCTTGACCCTGTAAACTTACATAGAAGAATTGTAGGTGTCAACATGGGTAAGCATGTACGTCATTTTTATAAAGGTCAAAATTATTTTGGACATGAGAAAATATTTGGAGAAAACTCTGTCCTTGAGTGGAGGCAGCCAAAGAGAGCAATGGGCTGGGGGCGAGAGGAAGCAGAGGTGGAGAGGAGAAAGGGCAGTGAGGCAGCCAGGGGCAGCAACAGCCACAGTGCTCAGCGACATAAACCAGCAAACTCTACACGCGTCACAATGTGGTGGCCACTTCGGCCTGACTGGCAGAACCGGACAGAGTCACAGCTAAAATGTCAGCCATAGGAATGACAGCCAACTGAAAGGAAAGTGAATTCTTTAGCTTGTTCTTAAGGCTGGCAACAGGCCTGGTAAGCTCTGAAGCAGCAGCACCGTGGCCCCGAGACAGGCGACTCACCCATGTATGAACTGGAGTTTCAGGCTGTCCTCAGGAGCCTTCTCCCGTTTGAGGAAGGGCACTGCATGGTTTTTCTCTTTGCTTTGTTGTTTTAGCTGAGGTAGATCTTCTTTGTAAACCTTAAAGTACAACAGCAACATTTAACAGCACTCCTTTCCTAGGTTTCTAAACAGCAGTATGGTGGAATTTTTGAGAAAGTTTTCATTGCTTTAATATAAAGGTATTAAAAAAAATAAGACATGAGATTGAATGTTATTTTCTATTGTATTTATTTTTGGTGATAGTTTGTTTTTTACTATCATGTGAGCCATGCTCTCAACCCTTCTTTTGTTTTAGTTATTTGAATCTTATGTTTTTTAAAGCCAGGCTATTCTCAGACCTTGATCTTCCTATCTATACTTCCCACAAAGCTGTTACTAAAGGGGTGAACTACCATGCCCAGCTTACTGAAATAGGAGTTTCAATAATTTTTTGCCCCAATGACTCCAAATTGTTGCCTTTCTACTTTCTGAGTAGTTAGGGTTACAGGCATGAGCCACCAGTGCTTGGATGAAACATTTTTTAAATGATTGGGATTCAAAATAATTTTCTTTCACTTCTTTGTTATTTTCTCAGGTAATCATGTACAGAAAATACATTACATTGTTACATTAGCAACAATTTTCAATTAGGTATAATTAGTTTCTTCTAGGGTAAGCAATTTCTTGATTATTTACAAAATAAGGGCCTTAGGAGTAATTTTTTTCCTTTGGAGTTCCAGTCTTTCCAGGGCCTCATGCATCTTCACAGATCAGACTCTGAAATGCAGAGCAAAGCTCATTTTCTCCACCTAACTTAGTACCTAAATCTGGCAGCTGACAGAAAGGTTTTTACAATTTAACTCCAATCTACATAAAAATCAATCTGTTTTTTACCACATTTTTATGCTCTATTATCAAGAAATATTGACTTAACATATTTTAAATGAAGTATTATATACTAATAATTTCTTATCTTCATGAAGGTACATTTTCATTTGGCCAATTACAATTGCTAAAAAAAATCAAGAAATATTATAAAGTTTATTTAGGATTTGGCCATAAATCATTACAAAAAGAAATGGAAAGATATTACTGTTTTGTCTATTACAAAGACAATGAACTAAGTTTTCAAGTCTAAAGATAATTATTCATTTGAATTCACAAGATTTTTCTCAAGGTCATCAGTTGCTTTAGATTATTTCTTTTTTTAATAAGTTTTTTTATTGTAAAAATACTGTACAGAGGGGTTATTTCCTCCTTTGGTTTTCCCCTACCATCCCTTCCCTCCCACCTCCACAACTACACTCCCCCCACCTAAATTGTAAAGTTCATTATTCAACATAGTGTCTTGGACATCTCATTGTTACAATGGGTTAACCTGTTTCCCTATTTAAACATTTTGTTTTTTCCCTTCCCCTCCCCAAATTAGACCAACATCAAATACAGTGAAAACAGGGGTTATACCGTGGGGGAGGAACATACAAAGCAACAAAAAAAAATCACATGGTACATTATAAATATGTTAGAAACAATAGCAAGAAAGGAAAAAAAAACACTTGTGTCCCTATTTTGGGGTTCATTTCGCTTAACATCATCTTATCTGGTCATATGTACATAGCTTTTGACCTTTTCTGCTTGTCCCAGACATATACTAGTTTTTGCAAACAAGGGAAACCATGGAACCTATGTTTCTTTGGGCCTGGCTTACTTCACTTAATATGATTTTTTCCAGGTCTTTCCATTTCCTAACAAATGGGCGATGTCATTCTTTCTGATGGAGGCATAGAATTCCATACTTTAGATTATTTCTACTGCTCATCTGATAGAATCTCACAGAGTTTGTGGGCTTCAAGTTCCTATTTGTTAGAAAAGAGTAAGTTCCCCACTCAGGAATATTGTGAACATAAATCAAATAATACAGTTGGAAATATTGAAAACCAAGGTGCCAGGAGAATTCATAAGTCCAACACATAGATCTCAATACAAGTCATGGGCTTTCATTCTTCATTACCATCACTGTATCAAGAGGAAAAAAAAAAACCCTTCCAACTGCACAAAGTGACTTTCATTTTGTTTCCATTTCCTTTCCTCCTGGCATCAGGGCATACTGTTTAGTGTCTGTGTGACATTCTCATATTAATCATTCCTTTCCAAATCCCTTTTCACTGTCATTCTGCATAATACATTTATCAGTACATAGCCAACTGACCTAATTGTGAGGTTGGCCTAAGCTATACGTTGGATTGCTTTTGTACTAATCCAATTTTTCAAACACTGAGTTGGTAATAATAGGCAGAAAACATGTAATCAAGTAAAAAAAAAAAACTGTTAATTCAATGCTATGGAGACAAGCTCAGAGGTACCTAGACTATTTGTTTTGGAGAGAAGCCCAGGTTAGCTTTCTTAGCCTCATGCCCTGGCCATATAGAAGTGGGTAGGTTACTTCACATCCCAGGGTTAAGACCTAGCCCACAGAGACCAATCTGGTACATCTCCATGGACACACTGACAGTATACCTGAAAGCTGATGTCTTATTCATTCCATGATCATGTACAGACTCTTCTCCTGCCTTTATAGATGGCAGGGCAGAAAACAGAACCCCTACATCTATCCAGTGACAAAGGGATGTGTGTTTAGATTGCTCACAAAGATTAATTTCCATAATGCTCTGTTTAGAGCTAAAATGAAATGTCAGCTTCCAAAAAGAATGAATGCAATCAACCAACTTTTACTAGTACAGATGGTTTCTGGCAGGAGAGAGAATATACACTGTAATTGGGCTTGTAGGGCTTTTGCTTCAAATTAAATGGATAATGGTTGCTGTGAGTTAGGAGAGAAATGAGGCCAATGGCTCACATACAAACTCCCATGTCCATTCTAAAATCACAGGGTTTGCTAAGAAAATGAAGATGGAAAACCTTGAAGCTTATATACACATTTCTCTGCAAAAACAAAAATCAAAGTTTTAGACGATAAGGAATCAAAAAGCTCAAATATTAGGGGTTCTGTTTGGGAGATGTTGTAACTACCTTTCATTTACTATTTAATAAGATCTGACTGGATAATTTACTTAATTGAAAACATATTTAAAGGCAAGAAGTAAGCTTTTTTGGCCTTACTTCTCTTCTGCCTAAGCAACAGCCATTTTTAGCGTCATGCCCCTCCAGTGCTAGCCAGGGCCTGGCCCTGCATTCTCACTGTGCACTGCTCACGAACCTGGCGGTCATAATTGATTTGAGTTTCTTGTTCAATATCGGAGTCCAACTCGGGCACATCAGATAAGTCAGAATCAGACTCTTCACTGCAGGAGTCCGTGCCACCTTCTGAGGGAAAACAACCCAGAGGACACAAGTGAAAATGCGCAGATGCTAAACAGCTTCCCTCCCCACCCCAGCAAAAATGAGTTCATTTGAAATATTTCCTTTCTTCTAGCAAAGTAAACAAAAGTAACTACACTACAGTTTTCACTTCCTACAGTTCCTTTCATTTTTTGGCTTAGTTCAGAGCTCCCCTCCCCTCCCTTCCTGGGAGCTCTAACAGACTGCAACAGCTTTCCTCCAGGCACATGGGCCACGCATGCTCTCTTTTATTAGAGAGCAGGATCCCTGGAGTTTAAAACCTTGCTTTGAAAAGTGTAAAGTCCTCAGGTTTTATCAAAGAGAAAAGCAGGGCAAAAGTAAATCTAATTATATCAGTAAAGACTTTTTTTTTTGGGGGGGGGGAGATACTGCCATATTGAGGTTTGAACTCTAGCCCTCAAGCTTGTTAGAGGAGAACTTTACCACAGGTCACACCTCTAAGCCCCTAGATTTTCAACATGCCTACCAAGTACTGAAAATTACCTTGGTCAAAAGCCTGCATGCAGAGCCCTTCCCAGTAAATAGATTTATTTTATTACCTGTTCATTCCTGCTGACATCTCCATGGCTATACAAAATAAGACTAGACTAAAGCCCCTGGATTCCCACCATGAACCATTCTCTGAACCTCAATATTTTGGGGGCAAGGTCCAATCTCAATATTTCTCTGAAAATCCTACAGGGTATTTGCTAGAAGCAAAATCCTTTTCAAGGAAAATTATCTCACTGACCCATATTAATCTCAAGCAATTTCTTCTTTTCAAAATGTTTAAAAATTTATTACAGGAATGTACTTTTCAAAATTGCTTTAATGCTTTGCCCCCAGAATAAACGTTAGAGTTATCCCTTCAGCATTTTTTCATCGACAAGAAGATATTGGAAAGCAGTGTCTCATTTTACCCTGGGGTGAGGTTTCCAGCAAGCCGTTGCTGACACCTTCTGGAATAAACCTCCACTGGAACACGGAGTGGTCGGCTCCTCCTGTGCTTAACACCCATTGGAAGTCATGGGACCAGCGGACGTTTGTGACGTGTGCAGAATGGCCCACATACTTCCTAAATTTGGCTCCTGTAAAGGTATTTTTTGAGATGGTTAGTCATGCCAAAAGAAGAAAGAAAGAAAGAAAAAGGAAGGAAGGAAGGAAGGAAGGAAGGAAGGAAGGAAAAAAGGGAGGGAGGAAGGGATGGAGGGAGGGAGGGAGGGAGGGAGGGAAGAAGAAAGAGAGAGAAAGAAGGAAAGAAATTAATTCATTAAAAGGAATTCATGTTCCTATTCACATTTGATTAAAGTCTTTACATACATCAGAAAATTAGTTTGTCTTATATGTAATAGCAAACAAATGCTCCAAAATGTATCTCATTTACTCTATTATGAATTAATCTGAAGTTCAGTCTTAAGGTGCAAGCTAAAGACAAATCTGAACCTGTTCCAAATAACACTTACTGCTTCACTGACTCTAACAACAAATAATCAAGAATGAATATATTACATATTCTTATTCAATGCAGTATAAAATTGCCGCATTTCACAACTGGAAAACAAAAAAGAATTCTGTGGAAACAATTGTAAATTAATGTTTGGGATCTTGCAGATAAAGAACTGTGAGAATGATCTTTTTTTCTCTCTTAAACTGATTTCTTTACTCTGCCAGCACCAGACCCAGATAATGAGTGCAAGGGGAAAAACAACTTGTGGTTGAACTACTGCAGTCAAGTAAGTGTTCCATGTAGGCTGGGGACACAGCAGGGGCCTGCTTACCCGTGCAGGCCTTGGGCTCTACAGACTATGGAGAGGGGAGGTTGACAGCATGCCCTTTACCCACTCCAAAAACCCTTCTGCCTCTTCTCATTCCTCACTCCTTTTCAGAGGAGGAAAAAGACATCTGTTTAACTGTCACAGGTTTAAAATTCAGATACCTGTAGGAGATGTAATGACTTAAATTTACACGAAGGTGAAAATGACTGTTATCTATACCCTGGTGAACCCTCTCCCTGCAAAAGCCTAGGAAGGAAAGAAGCATTAATTTGTTTGTTTGTAATTGCTTTATAATGATAGGGAAAGCAGATGGCTTTTCGTGGTCATGGAGCTGCAGTGAGTGACCACATATAGATTTGTTGTAGATATGTGAAGCACTGGGCTTTGAAAGTAAACCTGCCTAGTTCAATAGTGACCTAAATCAATTTTGGCAGTAAAGTCAAACTGATTGATTCTAAATAGGATTAGCTGGAAATGGTGTTAGCTTAGAAACTGAGAGCAGGGTATATTGTCTTATACCTCTAGAGGTCCTAAAAGTGTGTGGGGCTAGCCTCTGTCCTTCTCTGAGATCATTCAACCTGTCTCTTCATAGTGATCTAAAAGACACTGCAGAGAATTCTTTGATTCAAAACAAAGCAAATGAGATATAGCTAAAATGCAGGCATATGCCATCCAAGAGGAAGGTACAAAAGCCACTGCCAATCTGTCTTGATCTCTGTCTTGGACCATGTCATAAAGACACTCATGTAAACAATAACACATAAACAATCACGTGACAAAAAGTCATAAAGCTTCCAGCTACAAGTTCTGGGACCAAGAGGAAGCTGGAGTCCTTTAGAGCACTCCAACCTCATGAGAGGCCTTGAACTTGAACCTTCCATCTACTCTCTTCATGAATCCCAGATATCATACCTCCCCACCCCCCAATCCCCACAGGCAAACAAAACAAAACCTGTCAGATCATAAACATTTCTTCTTCAAATGTGCTAAATGGGGGATGGGGATAGACAATTCATTATGCAGCAATACATAACTAGTATACACGTAATAGACTGGACCTGAGGGCTCTCATCTGATTTTCTGGTCCCTTTCCATCACCTAGTCCACTATAGGCACACAGGTCCCTTTGCATTCTTCAAACATGCCAGCCACTCTCTGCCTCTAAGTCTTGTGCTTGCTGATCTCTCTCTCTTTGGAATGGCTGGTTCCTTTGTCTCCTTCACATCGCTAGTCAAGTGAACCTCTACTAGTAAGCCTCTTTTGATATAGAAACACACCACCCCTACTTATTTTTCCTTGTGTATGGACAGTGCTCCATTAGCAGAACAGAAGCTCTCTGAGGGCACTGCCATGTGCTTGTTTTGCTTATGGTCATATCTCCATCCCCCAAAGCAGCAGTTAAGTAATCGTTATCAAATAAAGAAAGGCCACATCTATGGCCTCCAAGTTTCTTCTTAGGACAAAAGGTGATGAGGCAAGTTTTTCTTTTGTTCTTTGTCCTACCAGAGGCTCTGGCATTACCCTTATTTCTTCTCTATCTACCTTCTCTCCCGTGTCTTTAAAAACAATCCACACACCTTGTGACTTCCCAGTGTTAATTTCCAGCCTTGAACTCTCTCCATGGAAGGCTGATGGCCTATGTGCCATGTCTACTTAAATATCTAACAGGTACCTCAAACTTACCATGAAGAAAACAGATAGAGAAGTTCTTTCCCTTCCTGGTCTCCCAAAACATTTATTTAGTTATCTATCTATTTATTTATTTACTTACTTAATTTTTGGTGCCCCAGTCCTGGGGTTTGAACTCAGGGCCTGGGCACTGTCCCTCAGGTTTTTTTGCTCAAGGCTAGCACTCTACAACTTGACCTGAAACTCCACTTCCAGGTATTTGGTGGTTAAATGGAGATAAGAGTCTCACAGACTTTCCTGCCCAGGCTGGCTTCAAACCATGACCTTCAGATCTAAGACTCCTGAGTAGGTAGGATTATAGGTGTGAGCCACTGATGCCTGGCCTTTTCTCATTTTTTCATCTTTGTAAATGTGCTACCTTCTATCCCATTGTTCAAGCCCCAAACTTAGAGGAGTCATCCTCATTGTTTTTCCCCTCTATTCCCACATCCAGTCAGGCAATAAGACCTTCAGCTCTTCCTTGAAACCTTGCCTATGCCAACCACCTTTCTCTGCATCTGTTCCTAGCTGCATGGTCCCTCAGGTGGCCTCCCTCACCCTCACACCTATTATATAGTATCACAGTGGTCTTTGGAAGGCTCAACTTGGTCATGTGCCACTTAAATCCTTATGACTTTTTCACTGCACACAGAATAGAATCTAAGTTTCTAGTAGCAGCGACAGAGCTGTACATAGTGTGGGCCTGCCATCCTTTCTAACCTCATGACAACTGTCTAACCTGCTCTACCTCAGGCCCACCCAAGCTACAGTGAAGGCCTATTCTTTCCCCTGCCAGCTCCCAGGTTTCAACATCCTGGACCCTTGTCACAGGATGCAGCTGCTCCAGATCTGTGTACAAAGCTGTGCATGTGGAGGGAGAATGGGATGAAAGCTTGGGGAAAACATGGGCCTTTGGAGAGGGATGGCACCAAGGACTCCAAGGGTGCCAAGGTATGGCTTCACCTCACGTGGGTGTCTGTGTGGAGCCCAACAGGATGAACACTAGGTCATCAGGAAAAACTGCCAGCACCAGTCTTGATTACTTTAAGATTTGAGAGCTATCAAAATGAGAAACACAAATGGTTTTGTCTATATAAAAATAAAGCCAGTTCAATCATTTTCATTAACTACAGTATACTTCAGTGAAATTACTGTGAACCAGAATATATATATATATATATATATATATATAAAATTCAAATTATAAACACACACACACACACATACAACATAGAACTCACCGAGCTAACTTGACATACTTGAATATATAGCTATCCCATCAATCTATCTGTCTGTCTGTCTGTCTGGATAGATAGATATACAGATAGATATAGAGATGGATGGATAGAGAGAGAGAGAGGAGAGAGAGAGAGGAGAGAGAGAGGAGAGAGAGAGAGAGACTGGAAACCAGTATCTGTGATATATATATATATATATGTGTGTGTATATATATATATATATATATATATATATCTCCAATTGTGTCAAGTTAGCTTGGTGAGTTCTATTTAGTCACAGGAGTAAACCATAATGCTTGCTTAGCGTCTCACATTTGTTCACAGTCATCAACCTCCGTTCATATGTGTCTTTCTACAGGTTCAAAGCTTGGGGGAGGGGGAATACTTGTCACTGGTATCCTGTGTCAGAGAGGGGCAAGTTCCACAGCTGCTGTTCCTACCAACAATTACCACACACTTTTATAACTTCCCCAGGAGCAGTTTTCACACACACACACACACACACACACACACACACACACACACACACGCTCACCTAGACGTCTCTGAGGCAAACTGCAACATTTGTAAGTATGCGTTACTCAAGGTAGAATAACTCCTTTGCCAGGAGGATGGGACTACTGTGGCAGCTCTCCTACTCACAAGGTCCATTAGGAAGCGAGAGAAGAGTCTGAACTGGGCACATGAAAGTAATTCTGCGCTTGGACCATCTCTTTGAAGTTGATGGCCATTTTGTCAAGTGTAAGTAATGGTGCTTTTGCAATGCATTTTATGTTCCATTTTGTACCATAATTGTCACTGCTTCAAAACTGCCAGTTAGCTGAAAATGACTTTCTGATTACATTTTCCAATCCCTTTCCTTGCTTAATTTAAAAATCGCTCAAGTGCAAGAGTGTTCAGGCAGCAGCATGTCCCTGCTGATTACTTTTGTGAGATCCTATTTTTCAGGACACAGTGGCAAAGCTCAGAGAGAGCCTGTGTATGAGCTCTGTGTAAACTTGAGAGGAAGAAGAGGATGAGATTACTGCATGGTTAATTCAGTCATTTTACATAGCTGGAAGGTACACCATAACTACACTGATACAAGTTCAACAATAACATACTCAATAACAAAACTTGAGGTCAGAAAGATTGTTCTGAACCTAATTCCTCGCTCAAAAATGTACCAGTTAGTTTTTACAAATATGACTTGAAAAATAAGTGCTGTGACAAGGGGTCTATAATCTGCACTGTCACCAGGAAGATTATTTTCAGATTTTAATTATGTCTAATTAGAGTTGCTTTTCTGTGTATAAGCCCAAGCAGCTAAGAAGCATAAAATATTTTAAATTATAATATTTTAATAGAATATATAATTTAATTATGAATATTTATATAAATGCACATAAAATAGGACTCTTTTTTGGAACATGAAACAGAAAGGGTTATGAATCACAAAATGGTATTTTTACCAAATCCTAACTTAAATTTTGCAAAACATGTATCTTAGGATGACAGAAACAGAAGACCTGGAGCCAAGCCTTGGTTCATACTTGAAATCCTAGCTACTCAGGAGGCTGAGATCTGAGGATCACAGTTCAAAGCCAACCTGGGCAGAAAAGTCTATGAGACTCTTATCTCCACTTAACTACCCAAAAGCCAGAAGTTGGAAGTGTGACTTGAATGGTAGAGCACCTGCCTTGAGTAGAAAAAAACAAGAGTACAAGGCCCTGAGTTCAAGCCCTAGTACGGGTATGTATACATACACACACACACACACACACACACACACACACACACACAAGCAGACCTTGCAACAAATGCTATGTAAAATAGTTAAACAACAAATAGAAATATACAAACGAAAGCAAGGAGTCTTAATTAAATAAGCACCTAAAAAATAAGCCCTTTGTACTGTCAGATAGTTCAGAGTAGTCTTCAATGTTTTGGTCTTACCTTTTTTTTTTTTTTTTTAGGTCATGGGGCCTGAACTCTGGGCCTGGGCACTGTACCAGCTCTTCAGCTCAAGGCTAGTGCTCTACCACTTAAGCCACAGCGCCACTTCCAGCTTTTTCTGCTTATGTGGTGCTGAGGAATTGAACCCAGGGACTCATGCATGCAAGGCAAGCACTCTAC